TCATTGTTTTCTTTGCTTACATATGATTTCTATATATATATATAGAAAGCTCTGGCCCTATTACTTATATAGTTTGCCTCAATTGCCCCTAAAGCTTTCTACCAGGGTGAAATACAATTAAAAACAAATCACTATATTAGGTGAAGTTTTCAATTTCAGAAATATATTGTTTGAAGAAGCCATTATTTTAAAATATTTTTAATAAATTTTCTAGGGCAGTGCTGGCCATTAATTTTCAACTTTGGTCTACAGCCAAGCGCATTACCAACTTGCATCCAAAGAAGTATTATTACAGGCTTCAAAAGACAGGAAAAAGTCTGTATTTACACTACCCAAGTAGTAATGTTTAAGCGTAAGTGTATACTTGATGGATTATAAACACAAATAAATAGCTGAGACTAGCACCTACAGTTTTTAAAAATCTGACACTAGAAACCATGGACTCCAGGATTCTGGTTAATTGAACCCATTATTTGGGATAAGGCCTGAGATTCAACCCTTCTAACAGGTTCTTAAATGATACTGACTTTGCTAGTCTCCAGACCCCATTTTTAGCAGCAAGGTTCTAGCCAAAAAACAGAAGAAAGAATCCCACAACCCCCTGATTAGTTGCTGTCAAGTCAGTGTAGATTCATCAAGCCCCGTGTGAGTAAGAATAGAACTGTGCTTTGTTCTTGTCGGTGGCTGGTTATTTGAAACACACCACCAGGCCTTTCTTCCTAGGTTCCATTGAGTGAAATCCAACCAGAAATCATCACATTTGTAGTCAAGCATATTAACCGTTTATACCATTATGTGGATAGCTTCATTGTTACTTTGTGTTGCAATTTAGTCCTTTGCATATGTAGATTACATGGTCACCTGACATTAAGGAACAAATTACTACAAAGAGCAGCAGTGAAGTGAATTAATGTATCAAGAGAGACTTCTGTGTGGCAACAACACTTAAGAGAACCTTGCTTAGATTCATGGTATTTGAATATGCAGAACAAGCTTCATGAAATAACTCTGTGGAGTATAATTCCTGGGAGGGCATAAAGGCACATAATCAAAAGTTCTGTTATTCATTGTTGAGGGACGTAATTGTAGATTAGAATTACGGCCCTTTAGCAGAAAGCCAGGACAGAGTGAATGGTTTTTCCAAGGTCATAGAGTATATTACTAGTATTGAAAATATGAAAATCTCTCTGCTTGGTGACCCTCTTCCACCAGCCTCATGATGATTCTTGGGAGGTAGTTTTTCGTGAAGTTCAGAGAAAGAACAAGGTAAAGGTGATGCTTTTATATTGTTACCATGGCAATTCTGACTGCAGGTTGTTTAGGAGACGGGCTGTGTGTGTGCGGGCTGTGTGTTTGTGTGCACACAGGGAAGAGGGTGAAGTGTGACTATCATGAGCAGGAGGGTGTCAGCTTAGACAGTGTTTCAGCAATGGTCTTTTGGCAGGAACAATTCTATATTTCAGGAAAGAAAAGGTGGATTTAGAAGGACTACATTTCTCTCAATTCAATAATCCTTTCCTAAAGCTGAGAAAACAGGGTATTCCCAACATGTCGAGAAAAGGAAAATTACACAGAATGAAGTAGCAATGGTCCAAATCTAGGATGTGGAAACTGGCAGTGAAAAAAAAAAACAGAATCAAAGAAAAGAAAGAAATGAAAAGAAAACAGAATCAGTCAATTTAAAAGGAATCAAAAATTTAAAAAAATATATATATATTGCTAGGATTTGATATGTATCTATCCTTTCTCTATGTCTAT